AGACAAATATATCTGATGAATATGTGTGCAAAAATACTCAACAAGGTACTAGCAAATCACATCCAATGATATGTTAAAAAAGATTATACACCACAACCAGGTAGGCTTTATTCCAGAGATGCAAGGGTGGTTTGATTAAAAAAACCCATAAACATAATGCACTATGTTAACAGAAACAAAGATAGAAACCATATAATTATATCATGAAATCTAGAAAAAATGATAAAATACAACATCCCTTCATGATTAGGACTCTCAGCAAAATCAGGATAGAAGGGACACTTTGCAACAACATAAAAACCATGTATGAAAAGAATTATAGCTAACAGCATACTGAATCAAACTGAAACACAAGGCTGCCCAATTTCTCCATTCCTTTTCAATATAGTACTAGAAGTCCAATCAGAAAAGATAATTAAATAAAAGATATAGGAAAAGAAAAAGTGAAACTATTTCTATTTGCAGATGGCATGATTGTATACATAGAATACCTGAAAGAATCCACAAAAGAAATGTGTAAAAGTGGTAAATTAATGCAGTAAAGTGGCAGCATACAAAATCAACATACAAAATTCTATAACATTTTTATAGAGCAACAAGGAACAGACTGAGAATTGAAGGCAGCATTCACATTGACAATAGCATTAGTAATATAATATACCTATTAATAAGCCTAACCAAAGTCAAATACCTCTATAAAAAAATAGAAAACACTAAAAGAAGAAATTGAAAACAACATAGAGAACCATCAGATGACATAAGGATTACATTACTGGACTCCTGCATAGCCAACCACACTTCAAGTCCTGGACCTAGAGGCTTGAAACTCATTCTGGGTGTGTGTGTGCCTACCAAAAATTCTGAGAGAATGGTGGAGAAAGAATTGTTGTTTGTCCGTCCCACCCTGGAGGAGTGTTTTCTTGCTTTCTGTCTCTCTGGTAAAAACACGTGCCCTAAAGAAAAAATGTCAAATTTTAAAATTAAGAAAGGAAGACACAAAAAAGTGGACAGACATTTCATGTACCTTGGTTGGAAGAATTAACATAATCAAAATGTCAATTCTATCTAAATTGGCCTACAAATTTAATGAAATACAAATTTAATGAAATTGCCATCAAATTACCAGAGATATTCTTCACTGAATTAGGACAAAACAATCATAAAACTTGTTTGGGGGGCTGGCATGTGGCATGGTGCTTGGGGCACTAGACTCCCACATGGACAATTGTGGTTTGCAGTCCTAGATCTGGTGGCTTGCTTTCTCACTTTCCCTTTCTCTTTCTCTCTGTCTTTCTCTGGTCAAATTGAAAAATCATAATAAACAGAATTAAATGAACAATTGTTAAGAAAACTTGTCTGGAAGCATAAAAACCCTGTATCACTAAAGCAATACAGTGCACAATGAATAATTTAGGATTCATCTTGCTCACAGATCCCAAAATATATTACACATCATTAATAATAAAAAACTCATGGAACTGGTATAAAAAGAGGCATGTAGACCACTTAAATAGAATAGAGAACACAAAAATATCCTCCCCAAACATACAGTCAACCCATTTTTGATATGGGGCATGAGAGAATCCAGTGGGGAAAACAAAATATTTTCTGCAAATGGTGCTGGAAAAATTGGATATCTACCTGTAGAAAAATAAAACTGGGCTCCTATCTTGCAACATTAACAAATACCAGCTCAAAATGGATCAAAGATGTAAATATAAAAGCTCAAACTATAAAACTATTGGTGGAAAACAAAGGGGAATCTCTTGGAGACATTGGAGTAGGGAAAAACTTTAAATAAGACCCCCAAAGCACTGAAAGTAATTTTGAAAAGACACAAGGGGTACTACAACAGGCTAAAAGCTTCTGCACAGCAAAAGAAATGAAAAGTAAAGAGACAACCTATGAAATGGGAGAATATATTTTTAAATTCCCCCTTCGATAAAGGACTGATGACCAAAATATACAAGTGGCTAATCTGAAAGAAAAAAAAGTTTAATTAAAAGTTGGGTAAAGGAGCTGAACAGATAACTTTCCAAGGAAGATATATTAATAGCTAAAAAGTATATGAAAGAATACTCAACATCTCTTATCCTAAGGGAGTTGCAAATCAAAACCACAATGAGATACCACAGTCAGAATGTCTAAGATTATAAAACAAAGCAACAACAACAAAAAATCCTGCTG